GCGCTGCATCTAGAAAGGGGAAGCTGCCACTAGTTGAACACAGTTCACAACCTCATAGAAGTTTAAATATTGAACGGGTTAAAATTGTCCCGGTATGTACTAGCAACTGCTCCTAAGAAAAGACACAGAAAGCATCACCATTACTGGACACAGATCCAAAAGAGGCCAAACCTCAATAGGAGATAAATCCCCATGTAATGTTATAAGAAAAATGACGACTTTCGTTACAGATTGTAAACTGTTGGTAATCGCTGTGTATCATTGCGCATCTGTCAGCAGCTTAGCGATATTCATCCCTGAAGTAGGTAAATAACGCACCAGATGTACTATATATAGGTCTAGCAATCTCTACAAAAGATATCTTAATCAAGCAAGGGTTTATCTCAGTCGATATAATGAAGTAATTACACTCTTGAATATAAACTAGTGCTCAAAAGAAACTACACACTGCAAAATGTTACATGAAAATTTACAAAAATTCAGATGAAGTGATAAAACCATACTGAGCCATGTCACACACAGAGACCTATCCTTTTCGAGTACAAACGGCGAAACAAGTTAAAAAAAATAAATTTTTGTGACCAAAGGAGATGAGAATTTTATTTGGTCAATATTTGTATAACGTATTTATGTTGTGTTATAAGGGAGTGTGTTAATAAATATCTTTGGAATTATCCAGAAGATAACTTTCTGTGCAATGAAATTCCAGGTTCAATTCTGAAAAAATAATAAATATAATGAATTCAATATAAGTTATTTGCGTGTAAATAATGATGACAATTTCCACACATTGATTTATGTTAATAGCTCTTAATAGGTGTCTCTCACAAATGTATTCTGTAATATGAGCTTGATTATTACAACCCCATTTTGCATTTGTTTATTGTGTAGCATGTTCAGTTAAACATAACATCAACATGCTTAATTTATCAATAATATATTGATGTCAGCATTGTAAGGATTGTTTACATTTTTGAAGTATATCACACTTGGTCTTATGTATTTTTTTGCAGTTGGAACAGATTCACATTGATTAACAGGAGAAAGAGGGAAGAATAGATGTTTCACTACATTTACCATTGACATCAAGAGCAACACAAACTGAAACAGATCTTTAGATTTCTTTCAACATCTGGTGGTCAAGCAATACATTGCCAATGAAGAAACAGCAAGTGTTGTATACACAGTCATAAAACATATTAAAGCCCTATACATCATACTTTGGACACTTCCTTGAACAGGAAATGATTATGATCAGCAAGGTGTTGTGGAACTTCTTGTGACATCTTGGGACTCTCAGATAATTCAGTAAGAGTTTAGATGTGTGACCATGAAAATATTCCAGTTCATACTGTTTCAGTATTTTTTCAGTCTGAATAAAATTACTGAATAGTTCTAGAAAACTGGTTTATTGGTTTAAAGTGTGGATAATGCAAACACAATTTCAGTGGTTTTGAAGATTTCTGATTTTTGCTGTGATATTGATTTGACATTTCATATATAACAATGAAGGTAAGAAAATTGATTTTCAGTGTATATATCAAAGGTTTCCAGGTGAATGAGTGAGTGAGTTGGGTTTTACGCCGCTATTAGCAATATTCCAGCAACATCATGGCGGGGACAGCAGATATGGGCTGCACACTTTGTTGCAATGTGGGGAACCGAACCCGGACCTTCAGTGTGACAAGTGAATTATTCAACCACTAGGCTACCCCACTGCCCCAGTTTTCATGAAAAAACAAACATGCTTACCAATGACAATTAAACTTAATGATTGGCATAGGCATGTATGTCTACATGAAATTAGTTTTTTGTTGAAATATAAAATTCTTTTTTTTTGCTGTAAGATTTTAGCATGCAATTACACTGGTTCATAGCACAATAATCAGTACACATTATTCCTTTCAACTATCTTAAAACATATTGGTCCAGCTCTATAGTTGAAAATATGGAATGTCAGTTACCACACGTGACCTTTTTCGCAGAATATTTTGAATATATAAGTGAAAAACACTAAAAAACATTTCATGATAAGTAATCATACTCATGTTGATATCAGTCAGAATCTGTAGAATCTACAGTCATGACCGTATTTATACACATGTAGTTTTTACAAAAAAGGAACTATCTTTGAGTGATTATTCATATTTTAGCGTATCTGGTCTTGCATTTTGGCAACGTGTGACTTGAAGGTGTTGTTCCTATCTGTTGCTTACTGCACAGAACCTAAACCCTGCATAACCAAGAAGCAAAGAACATTCATGTACTGTACATCACAGTACATGGTTCATTGAACAACTATATACAAGACAGTAAGTACTAAGTGTAAAAGTAATATTGTGAAAGAACCATTCTTTAGTTATCACTGGACTATAATAATGTTTACATACTTTGATAAATAATTGTTTCATGATGAATATTCATATGGGTTAGGGTTTTGACATTTTTGTTCTGAATACCGGACAGAGTTGATTGATTTGTGACATTATGACTTTTTGTGTGAATATTTGGAACTTACGTGCTTTAATTGAAAGTGGAGTTGACAGAGTCAATGTGGCCAAATATGAAAAGAAGATCAGCTTGATAAAGTTGGTAACACATGACTGTTATTAATAGCAGTATATTAATAAATTGTTTACGAATTCAATAAATTCAATTTACTCAGATACATTTCACGTTAACCATATCATTGATTTTCCCCAAATATACTTTTTGACAAACACTGTCCGGTATACTGAAAAGAAACAGTATAGAACGACACTGGTTGCCAAAAATAAGTTACAGGTAAAGAAAAATACTCATACGTTTTCGAATTGTCTCATAGTTGTCGGTTGTCAGTAAGGAACCGATAATCCTTGAAGGAATAATAGTTTTCCGGTCTTATCGTCATCAAATTAGCCACTATTAGGACTGTCAACAGCTATTACAGCCAAACGTGGTAGCTCACTTGGTCCGGTTTAGTAAAGTAATATTTGGCGGTCGCGCAATTTGGAACCAGAACTGGTTTATGAGCATTCGCTTGTCACCGGAAATCTGGTAGCGGAAGTAGCACCTCGCGAGACTTACGGGCCCTATAAAACAGCCTACGTGACACGTGAGCAACACAGTAGTAAAATGAATACAAAATTTAGGCCACATTTGAGGCAAATCGAAAGAGAGAGAGCTGTCGGAATGGGCCAACAAGGAGTTAACCACACCGTCATTGCCAGAACCTTCGGCTGCACCCGAGCAACTGTCACCAGACTGATGCAACGACTAAGACAAACAGGCAGTAAGTCAGACAGGCCGAGGAGTGGACGACCACGCATGACAACTCCCGGTGATGATCGCCAAATCCGGACAATTCATCTGCGAAATCGTTTTATAACCACGACGTCAACGACAGCGACGGCTCTGGGTCACCGTATCAGTCGACACACAGTGTGCCGGCGACAAAGAGAACATGGTATTCGAGCACGTCAACCCTACCGACGTCGTCGATTGACATGGGCCAGGCGAGCTCGACCTTGGCAGATGCGTAATTGGCAACGTGTAGTAGGTTTTGCCTGTACAGTAATGACGGTCGTGCTCGTGTTTACAGAAGAGTAGGAGAACGTTTATCACCGAATGGCGTTCAGCAAGTCCGACCGTTTGGAGCCGGTAGCGGGATCTGCAGCCATCTCAAAACGAGAGTTGTGATGATTCATGGCAGTCTGAATGCTCGAAGATAGAGGGATGACGTTTTGCGACCAGTTGTGTTGCCATTTATCTAGCAACAACCACGTGGCATTGTTTAAAAACACGAGAATGCAAGGCCTAATACAGCAAGAATGTCCGACGACTTTCTGCATAAGGCCAACATCGTTCTTTCGCCGTGGTCAGCATTTTGCCGTGGTCAGCACAACGGCAATGTTTAGGCCATATCGTGACAACATATTTGACGTTGAAATTGAATACGTGTATGTTATAAAACTTGTGGTCAAAGGACAGTAAAACAGCTAGACTATCACAGTTACAATCAAAACTAGCATGTAAAGTTAGAACTAACAGCACTATTTGGACAATACAATATACAAACCAGGCTATAGATCGCCAACAACTTAAGGTAGATCACCATACTAGGGTCGACTTGTGGAAAGATGTGTATGGGTGAATATTGTCATGGTAATAAGAAAAAGGCATGTAGACTATACCGTATATACGTGGAATTGCGTTAACAGGATAAACTATGTCTACTTCAACTGTTGAAGCAAAGGCGATCCAAACAGTCTGGGAATTCATTGAACAAATTCAGCATCCGTTCTAAACATAAGCAGTTCATTATCTTCTCTGACAATTTAACCAGGAGACATTTTCGTTAATGTTTTTAACGTAATAGATGATGGCCTCTTATTGAAAGTTTGGAAGCATTTCAACCAGCAGTTTCAAGGAAGACATGCAGTTAAAATGAGAACCACATCAAACTTGGTCGCCAGGCCATACAACTATTAATCTGCAGTGGAAAAAACACATTTGATGTTGATCCAATGGCCAATATAACAAATTATTAAGCTGATCTTAAAATATTAATTCCATTGCTTCTAGCTTTGCACCTTAATAAGGCTGGTGTATTTTATGTATTGAAATGGTGCTTGACGCTGGAGAATACAATTAAATCACTCCCATAACGGAAATCCATCATTATGACTTAAATGTTCCCGACGAAGTGTACAAGAGTTCCATCACTTGTTATCTGATCTTCTCGAAATTGCGAATATGTGCGAGTATCGTTGACACCCACCACCTACGTTGAAGTGAAGGTGAATGTTTATGGAAGTCAACTTCTGTAATATGAGGAACTCCTTCATCCATGTGTATGCCATTGATTTAGGACTAAGAATATACTGCAAATCGACATGTTTCTCATATGACAGAAGTAGACACCCATAAATTTTCACCTTCATGTGTAGTAGCAGTTCTATTTGTCATTCAAAGAGAATCTACATAAAAGTGAATTAAATTCATCATTTTTGTCTCTACAGCTGCCAGTGCACAGGTAGCACAGAGTGGAAAAAGTAAGTATGTTTCTCACAACTAATTTCTTTTATAGCATCTCTACTTTTCAAAATGCCCACAGGTTCAAGTAATTTTAAACCTTCGTTTCACTTTTCCGGATCCTTTGATTTCCATGCTAACATGTCCGGGTTTTATCCTGTTTTTATCTATTTTTAAAGATTATTAAGATTTAGTTTGCCAAAAAGCACACAATGAGACGAAACTTGTGTTACATTATTAGCTTTATTCTTCTTTAAGATACATTCAGATACATGCTGTCATGTTTGCTGGTCCCATTTCACACTCGTGTTTTCCTCGCTACTCGCTCCCGAGACTACCCCAGGAGTCCAACTTCCGTGCTATTATGAAAAAGGAAATATAAGTAAACGCTATGTCCAACAATTGCGTGAGTGGCACTTAACTCTGACAATGCCCGGGGACTGGCTGTTGCCTTGCATTCCCGAATGACATCTCAATCCGAACATGTTCGCGATGTATGCAGCACCAACCACAAGTAAAAGGGTTTATCTTCACACTGATCAACAGAGAAAAGGTATCGTCTTGTAAGTGATTGAAATATGTGGGCGTCTTTGTGTGTCGCATGGGTGAACATGGCACATTTTATATACGTCAGTCACATACTTGGTATTTTGCAAAGATAAAGTAAATGAAGTAACATGATTCTGTTTAATGTAACAACACGTGACTTGAAATAAAATGTACACGTCGTAATTATAAGGGACAAAAGTAATATGTATGACATCACGGAGTAGCGTTTTCCCAGGATTCCTTATGTACGTTGATCCACATAAAGAGAACATATCCCAATCAAATGCAGCCGACATAGAAACGTGTGCGATGTCACGTGTATTAATGAAATACCCATCCTGTAGAATATATATGACATTTTGGGATATTATAACTTATGCTCATTTTACAACTGGTCACGTAAGTTCGTTTCCCGTTCTCCACATAGGGGTGACGTCTCATTGGTTAGCTGAGATTGCACACGTGTCAATTATTTTCATGGTGTCCAAGGTTCTATAAAACAAGTTGGAAGCGAATAAGCAATCAGTCAGTAAACATATTATCGGATAATCCTTTGAACACTAATTGTATGCAAAATATGGGCGTATTCCGTATGCATTGGAAGACGTCCATTATCGATAAATTGTTTGGTCGATGTGTAACTCAACTAATCATTCCCATCTTGCAGCGCTGCCTCGTGAATAGCATATAACATGTAATACATTCAACCCATCAAACCACCCGTGAACATAAGGGTTAAAATTGGTCTTCAGCAACCCATGATTGTCGATGACTTGGTTGACACATGTCATCGTATCCCAACTGCGTAAATCGATGCTGATGCTGTTGATCACTGGATTGTCTGTTCCAGACTCGATTAATTACAGACCGCCGCCATATACTTGCCTATTGCTGAGTGAAGCGGATGTTGCTAGTGGTACTTTTACAAGTGAACTAGGGTTCAACTTTATGAATAACAAGTTATTATATTTCGTGTTTCGATACTTCTACCGTTGTCATTTCTGCTTGACATTGTTATTAAGTCAGTGGTAGTCACAAAAATAACATGTATATTGTTGTGCGTTCTATCACGTGATTTCCATCTTATGTACCATTTCTACCATTATTCCTCAACCATAATAAACATGGCTGCTGCTGTCTTCAACTTCACACCTGACTTGTCTTCCATATTCCTGTCCACCATCCTGAACTACCATCCGAGAGTATCGCCGACGAACGCTCTTGGACACTAGCAAACGTCGCGCACAGCGATGTATTCGGAAGGGTAATGGAGGGGGCAAGCTTATAGCTTTGTGCCAACGGTCGCCCTCAGTTGATCTTGGTCCAGGGGAACCCTACTGACATTCAGTATTGGAACCACGTTTTGCCCCAGCCCTTCTGCCATCCATGCGGAACATGACGCGCATCTGACAAGACGCCGGCGATGACATCATAGACTGGCCTTCCCGTTTTCCAAACGAACTCGATCGAGTACACTTGGGGTGAGCCGAGTAGACGAGTGGATGAATCAACCTAGACCTTGAAAGAACTTGACCAACGGCAACCACTTCCAATCAGAGTGTTCCAACAGGATCTCCAGTCAATGAGGTGACGGAGGTTACACTAATCATTTCTTTTGATCCGACACGTTGGGGTGTCTTTTGTATAAATAAATCCACTCACTACTTCTTGTTGTACCAGGGTGCTGGAGAGCGAAAAGGGAAAATATTTAGCATATTCTTACTTCTAATGTACCCCACGAACACTTTTCATTGTAGAGTGCAATATTTTCCCTTCTTACTTGAAACATTCAAACCTAATGCATGAACATGCAACGTATTTTTGCAAGATACCGCGTAGCTAGTATCCTCTGTTGATGACAAAGGACAAAATTGACTATCTGACTGCCTCCAAGAATCTCTCAAACGGATAGGGTTCCAATTGGAGATTATGATTCTTGGCTTCTCTTGAGGCAAAGTGAAGGGAAAACAGCCTTGAAGATCGGAGAGCCCTTCTGCTGAAACATACTGATAAAGCACATGATAGGATCATGAGCGATCAACATGAGCGATGATAGGATCATGAGCGATCATGACATTGTCATTACAGGAGGGATGGGAACATTGCGGGGCATGAACTGGGCATGACAAAGGGTTTAACACAATCGGTTCCAAGGCTGCTCATTCCTGATCTGAACCATTCCTTGGTCGTCATCCCTAGTGAAACTTTATTTCGTTTTGCTTCTATTTTGTGTGGAATCCTGGAAGGGACATTGTTGCGTTGTCGCCCTCTCAAATACAAGCAAAATGAGGCAAAATTAACCAAAGTGCGACAAGTGGGCAAAATGTCACATTGTCGCATGTCGCGTTTTGAATAATATTTTTCTATTCCTCCAAAGGGCGACAATGCTACATAGCGACAATTTTCAAGGTCCAAATATGTCACGTTGTTGCATTGTCGCCCTATCTAAGATGTGGAAAAAAGTCTAAAAATTGACTAAAACGCAACACACGACAACGCGACATTTTGATGAAACATCGCGCTGTCGCGTGTCGCGTGTCGCGCTTTTCGATTACCGGTGCGCATGTGTAGAAAGTCAATTAGTCTACGTATGCGCAGCAAATGTTATACTCTATTTCAGACTTCACTGGTCTTTTGTCACCTCCAATGGTTTTTAAAATGAAGTTGTGCTCGTAATGGCAATGTGGGGTGCTTTTCTTGAACTTAATGCAAATCTTTCATTGGTGCTTTGAACTTTTTTTTTCTATATTGTAAATGTATTTAGCCAATCAAGTGTGTTTTAGCAGCAAGACAAATTATTAGCGCTACTATTCATTGTAATCACGGCACACGGTGGCCCTGTCATTCTAGGCGAGGCAATTTGCTGTGCAGAGTTGTGTCTCATAGTGACACCAGATAACTATGATCATATGTTCGAATCCCAGCACCATACACTTTCATCACTTTGGACATTTCACCGATATCAAGCTGACAGGTTGTGAAAAAAATGAAATATTGTTAAAATTCAGGCCACATCGGCATGGGTCACTATGTTCGACAGTTTGGCTCCTGACAGAGTTTCTTGGTACAGTCCTGTCCGACGCTGATGAATTTGTCCGACATCTGCCTCTGTTCAGCCAGCAGTGGATGGATACCAGGTAGAATGAGATGGTAATATCACTTAACCATCCAGCACCTCAACGACAGTTTAGGTCGGCTTTGAACGTGATATTCTTCTTGGGAAAACGCCATACAAATGGACTGTTATCATTATGATATTAAAACGATGAAATCGCTTGGCAGAGTTGCGTACCCTTGGAGTGCCAGAAACCAACCCTCCCTCCCTGCCTGTCTCCCTCCCTCCCTCCACTCACTCACTCCTCTCACTCTACTCCACTCCACTCCACTCCGCTCCAATGCGCTCTGCTCTACTCCACTCCACTCACTCCACTCACGGTTTAGGGTGCTTGGTAAATTAGCAATGTATTTCATTAGAATAATGTGTTGTGATGTTTGTTTTTCTATTCGATTTGAATCCTATATAATTAATCCTGGACATACCATGATTCATAATATAGCGATAATTTTCTCAGATGATACTATACCCAGCGATACACATGTACTTGTATTGTTTCAAACATACACCTACTCAATCATAATAATTTTCAGCAAAATAGCCAGTTTGAATATGTCCAGGATTAATTATATAGGATCCATTTCATTAACCAACGATTCTTAGCCCACAGACTTCACGGCCACATGTACGTTCATTTATTTTTGTTCTAAGTTCGATCCCTGGGTATCTCAGCCTTCAAAAACATCGAAAAATAATCATGCCTGTGATAGTTTTTAAATTCCGCCGTAACTAATAAAACGCGACACGCGACAATGGGACAACGCGACATTTTGATGAAATGTCGCCTTGTCATGTGTCGCACTTTGTTAAAATATTGACTATAGTATGTATTATAACCACAGGAGTTCGAATCACTGTTTGGCCGCTCTTCGATAAACATCGACAGTTTCCGCTGATTTTTTAATGACTCGGAAACAGAAAACGGCTCAGCCTGGTTCTCAGGGTCTGCTGCGCTAACGCTTCGACACTGAAAAAGCCATTTATTATCTAATTCTTTTCTAATGTATTATGAGGAAATAATTGATACAGTTCCAACCACTGTTTTTTAACTGCGGGTGTGCTTGTAAAATTGTCGGCTCTCAGTAACATAATACAGAAAAATATATTCCTTATCTTGAGTTACTTTGGTACATATTATTTGTAATAAACTTAAACACATCCATCCATGAACACACTTTTTTTCGAAGAATGTTGTCTGAATCGGTTTGCAAAACAACAAGAAAAGGTTTTTCCAATATTATTCAGAAATCTTTATGATTAAAATAAACATGGGGAATCAAATGATCTGTACATAAAAATACACACAATTATACTGCTGAATACAATGAATTTGACAGACTATTTTGCTACATGAATGTATAAAAATACACAGTATGATCAGTAAGCTAATACACTACCATAAAAATACATACATTGCCTTAAAAGTACATATATTTGAAGATGAACTTTTTAGACAGATGTACATTCCGCTATTTGTGATTTTTACCAATGACTCTTGTCCTGAGTACTGTAGTTTTTATGGCTTGAAGCCAGTATCACAGTATACATTTGCTATACATGTATATTGATAATTTTGAGCATGATAACCCTGGTGATATTAGAATAGATCTGATACATGTTAATAATCATATAATTTGATATCAGCAATTATTCAGCAGTTAACCAGTTTGAGTAAATGCTGCAATGGAATCTTTTGCTTTACTTTATTATACTTTAGGGCTGTGCATACAAACATAGTTCAACACATAATCAGTGATTTTGCTTTGAATTTTGGAGAATAACAGTGCTATGAATTTGTTGACCAGTGCACTATTGATATTTAAAAAGAATTAAAATTGTATGGTGTGTATCTAGAAACTGTGTCTTTTTATAGACATCTGGGTATTGTGTTAACACCTATAGTTATTTGGACTAAAGCACTAACTACTCTTGGTCTACAGAGTGAAAAGGCTATTATGACATTGTACAGATATTAAAAGAACGTTGAAAATATACCATGTCCAGATTTATTTAAGATATTTGATGGCATGATTTGTTTCTATAGTGTGTTATGGTGCAGAAGTATATGGCACCTCATTATTATTGAACTATTGAAGATGTTCAGTATAAAATGTGTAAATGGTTTCTCAAAACAATCGTTTGGTTTGGCACAGCCCCTCTCCAACTTGTAAACAAGGGCTAATAAGTATTGGTGCAAGCTTCTGTATTTGGATGAACGAAGATTGCCAATGCTACCTAATGGATGACTGGCTGTACCACATTAGCTACTCATGTTACAAATATTCTGATTGGACTTGGATTTGAATATGTGTGGTTAACACTTGATGTGGGAAATGTGAAGATATTTATTCTCCTTTTTAAACCATGATTATTTAACAACCTACAACTATCATGGTGTTGTTCTATCAACAGTTTATCTGATTCCTTCTATCTATATTCCATAATGTGTCCCTTTTCCTATTACTTAAAACACACTGTAGCTGTATCTGGAGTTGGAGTGGTATGGGTAATGGGGTACATTTAGTTATATTTTTAGCATAGTCATCTGATGTTACATATCCTGTAGATAACAGGCATCACGCAGATGTTGTAAAACCATGATCACGCAAGATCATTATGCCTATTGCATCACCATGATCAACGCAACGCAAAATGGAAGAGTAGAAATGGATGCTATTTTGAAATGATATATGCAAAATGAGTAAAAATAATAAATATATTCTTCTTTATTATTATTCCCTTTTTGAAAGCACGTACATTGTCAAAAATAGATGGTTGAACTAATCAGTTATGTGTTACACATGTATTAGATCTATTTATTATTAATTACATAATGTGGTAAACAACAATTTTCTAGTTACTATTACTGGGTGTTAATATTTATTCCATGGCTATTAGCTTTGCACCTTAATAAGGCTGGTATATTCTATGTATTGAAATGGTGCTTGACGCTGGAGGATACAGTTAAATCACTCCCATAACGGAAACCCATCATAATGAAGTAAATGTTCCTGACGAACTGTACAAGAGTTCCATCACTTGTTATCTGAGTATCGTTGACACCCACCACCTACGTTGAAGTGAAGGTGAATGTTTATGGAAGTCAACTTCTGTAATATGAGGAACTCCTTCATCCATGTGTATGCCATTGATTTAGGACTAAGAATATACTCCAAATCGACATGTTTCTCATATGACAGAAGTAGACACCCATAAATTTTCACCTTCACGTGTAGTAGCAGTTCTATTTGTCATTCAAAGAGAATCTACATAAAAGTGAATTAAATTCATCATTTTTGTCTCTACAGCTGCCAGTGCACAGGTAGCACAGAGTGGAAAAAGTAAGTATGTTTCTCACAACTAATTTCTTTTATAGCATCTCTACTTTTCAAAATGCCCACAGGTTCAAGTAATTTTAAACCTTCGTTTCACTTTTCCGGATTCTTTCATTTCCATGCTAACGTGTCAGGGTTTTATCCTGTTTTTATCTATTTTTAAAGATTATTAAGATTTAGTTTGCCAAAAAGCACACAATGAGACGAAACTTAAACTGGTGGTCATCGGATACCCTTTTCTAGGGTTCACATTTATCTTTGTGTGGATGATCAGATTAGTAAATGCATTTGGATCACATTTCTGTATACCTTGATGCTCTTGTGGCTCTTCAGCATCTGATAACCACTGCACCGTTACTGTGTGGGGCCTTTCCTGCTTCCTTATTTGTCTTTTAATGAGTTTAGGTAAGACTTTGCTGACTTAGTTGGAATCACGAGGATAGAAGCTTTGTTTTGTTCTTTGTCTGATTCAAAGTACACAGGACAATGTTAATACCATATGCCATCCAAACAAAAATGGGTTTCGATAACTGCGGCTCAGTACCATTTGGATAGGGATGATATTGCCATCGGCGTACTTGCCAATCGATGTCCTGCTTGCTTGAAATATGCACAGGCTACATTGCACCATCATGTTCAGTATGTAGCTATCATTAAAGTTATGACTTGTCTTCCGGTGATCTTAAACCATTTGTGTTTTGCAGGTAACATTGTGATGAACATCACCAATGGTAACCCAATCCATGTACCAGAAGGGGACACGGTTCAGATAACTGCACTTTGCATTATCTGTTCCCAATGCAGATTACACTACATTGATCAGGAACGATGTACCCGTGACATCAATAGTGAACTGCACATGCAAAGAGGTAGCTCGTAATTGTACATTCACTCTCCAAGGTGTCACACGAAGCCAGTCCGGGACATACCAGATCTACGCCAGGAATGCGCGAGGAGCACTCAAGAGTACCGCCACCAAGGTTGATGTTATGTGTAAGTATATGTGTGTTTCTGTGCGTGCATCCGTGCGCAATTGGGAACCGATATTTTGTATACATGACCATTATAGTACCGTACACGCGTACGTTGAAGCTACCCCGGAATTCACAAGAATACGTTGTCTCACTTGTTCTTTGATTCAATACATACCAGTGCACATTAAACTCCTGGATAAGACTTTTTTTGTCAACCCATTGCGTTTAGACTATAATAGATTATGCTGGTTTTCGTAAATACCGAGCGGGCCACTGCATCATTGTACCTGAGATCATCAATGAATCAGCACATCATTTGCATGAGATCATCAATGAATCTAGAGACCTGAATCCGGTATCTTGATAACAATGCCAAGGTGTTGACGTGCGATATTGCCCTGTAATATATGGTCACTTGTGTTACATTATTAGCTTTATTCTTCTTTAAGATACATTCAGATACATCCTGTCATGTTTGCTGGTCCCATTTCACACTCGTGTTTTCCTCGCTACTCGCTCCCGAGACTACCCCAGGAGTCCAACTTCCGTGCTATTATGAAAAAGGAAATATAAGTAAACGCTATGTCCAACAACTGCGTGAGTGGCACTTAACTCTGACAATGCCCAAGGACTACCTGTTGCCTTGCATTCCCGAATGGCATCTCATCAATCTGAACACGTTCGCGATGTATGCAGCACCAACCACAAGTACAAGGGTTTATTCTCACACTGATCAACAGAAATAAAGTATTGTCTTGGAAGTGATTGAAAAATGTGGGCGTCTTTGTGTGTCGCATGAGTGAACATGACACATGTTATATATACGTCAGTCATATACTTGGTATTTTGCAAAGATAAAATAAATGACTGACTGACTGACGTTTTACGCCGCTTTTAGCAATATTCTAGCAACATCACGGCGGGGACTTGAAATCACACATTGTACCAATGGGGATTACAGGTCTTCGGCTCGAATGTAATCGTATTCAAGGGACACAAGTAATATGTATGACATCATGGAGTAGCGTTTTCGCAGGATTCCATATGTCCGTTGATCCACATAAAGAGAACATATCCCAATCAAATGCAGCCGACATAGAAACGTGTGCGATGTCACGTGTATTAATGAAATACCCATACTGTAAAATATATATGACAGTTTGGGATATTATAACTTATGTTCATTTTACAACTGGTCACGTAAGTTTGTTTCCGGTGCCCCACATATGCGTGACGTCTCATTGGTTAGCTGAGATTGCACACGTGTCAATTATTTTCATGATGTCTAAGGTTCTATAAAACAATTCGGAAACGAAAAAGAAATCAGTCAATCAACATATTAACGGATACTCCTTGAACAATAATTGTAAGTGATCACCTTTAAAATATGGGCGTCTTCCGTCTGCATTGGAAAACGTCCATTATTGATTAATTGTTTGGTCGATGTGTAACTCAACTAATCATTCCTATCTTACAGCGCTGCCTTGTGAATAGCATATAACATGTAATACATTCAACCCATCAAACCACCCACGAACATAAGGGTTAAAATTGATCAGGGCAAAAATTGATCTTCGATGACTTGATTTGATGCATGTCATCGTATCCCAACTGCGTAAATCGATGCTGATGCTGTTGATCACTGCATTGTCTGTTCCAGACTCGATTATTTACAGACTGCCGCCATATAGCTGGACTATTGCTGAGTGAAGCGGATGTTGCTTTTGTGGTACTTCTACATGTGAACTAGGGTTAAACTTTATGAATAACAAGTTATTATATTTCGTGAGAGCGATGTTTCGATACAGACTCTTCTACCGTTGTCATTTCTGCTTGACAGTGTTATGTCAGTGGAGGTCACAAACATAACATGAATATTGTTCGACATATTCTTGTTCAGTTTACATCCGATAGTAACACAATACACTCATGCAGTGACAAAATGGAAATCCTGTAAATAAAACTCTGTGTGTGTGTGTGTGTTAGTGTGTGTGTGTTAGTGTGTGTTAGTGTGTGTGTGTTAGTGTGTGTGTGTGTGTGTGTTAGTGTGTGTGTGTGTGTGCGCGCGCGCGCACGCACAAAATGTCCAAAATGGCACAGGTGTTCAGTCATAAATATCAGATAGATAAAAAAACCAGAATGCCTTTAGATAAATAAAAAAAGAATGTCTTGTCTTCTAGTGTTGATATTATGATTGTACCGTTTTTTTAACATGTTTTTCAATCCAATTTGACAGTTATTACCAACATCAGTGTGTTTTCTGATGAAAAAACATATCGACCAAACACACCTAAAAAGACAGACAGGATAAAAGGTTCCGAATGATATCCGTGAAAATAAAAATGCACGTGCAGATCGTGACAACCCTACCAATGAAAGCGAGTCCCAAACTCGCCTGAAATATTTCCTGTGTTGACACAATCGCCGTACCACGACTTACGAGAGATGAGAGGGACCAATCCTTGGGACGATTGCAAGTTGGCCAGACTGCACGGAGGATAGCCAATCATTTTAAGAAACTTGTGGGGTGGTCAATGCATATTGGTGTGGGGTGCAATCGGTCTGAACCAGAGAGTAGGCCCCTGAATCTCGGTCAAGGAAATGACGTGACAACTGTTCGCTATACTGACCAAGTCATAAGACCCACGTTGTACCACATTTTGGACACTACAGAAATCACATCTTCCAGCAACACAACACAGGTGCCCACACTGCTACATTGGACTTCCTAAGACAACATGGCATCCAAACCCTGCAACCAGTCCGGATTAAGGTCCAATACAACACTTTTGGGACGAGATTCAAAGGAGGCTTAATGACCTGCAACCAAGGCCGACAACTGTGGCTGGACTCGATCAGGCATTTCGCAGAGTATGGACCCAAGTGCATATTTTCTTTTCTTTTGCAGTTCAGTCTACATCACGCCTAACCAATTACTGGACCAGGATTGACGAGTTACGCTTCACATTGCGCTTTGCCGATGGATGGGTACAGGTGTGACGTAGGAGGGGAGAACTTCAAACTAGCAAACGCCACGCACAGCGTTGTATGCGGAAGGGTAATGGAGGGGGCAGGGTAATGACTTTGTGCCAACGGTCGCCCTCAGTTGGTCTTGGTCCAGGGGAACCCTATTGACATTCAGTTTTGAAACCCCCAGCCCTTCTGCCATCCATGCAAAACATCACAACGCTACGCATTTATGACGCGCAACTTACAAGACGCCGGCGATGATGTCATAGACTGGCCTTCCCATTTCCCAGACTTGAACTCGATCGAGTACATTGGGATGAGCCGAGTGGACCAGCGAAGCAGCAGATGAATCCACCTAGACCTTGTAAGAACTTGATTAATGGCAATCACTTCCAATCAGTGTGTTCCGACAGGTTCTGCAGTCCATGAGGCGACGGAGGTTACGCTAATGATTTCTTTTGATCTGACACGTTGGGGTGTCTTTTCTTTAAAAAAATAAATCCACTCACTACTTCTATTGTGGGATCGAATTTAACGAAAGAATAGTTTTCATTTTGGCAAAGAATATTTTGCTCATGGTTTAGTTGCAGTATTATATATATTTTCGTTGTTATACACGACAAGATTTAGAAGAGGTCATATGGTTCCCAGTGCAGTGTGCACACCAAACGGCATTCCGCACTCAGTGCTCTCATGTTTGTCATCCCCAGCAGTCACAAATCACAGGTTGCAAAGATGAAGATACAGGAGTTTGTCCGTTCAACCACACCTTCTTGGCAGTAAATCAACTCAGATCTGAGACTGACTGTTGTTCAAGTTCAAGTTGATCTTTGTAAATATTTTACTGGGAGCATGTTCTGTTACGAACAACGCCCTTACATTGTCAAGTTCATTGTCTTGAGAACTTAGGCAGTAACTCTCTGCGTGTGTGTGTGTGTGTGTGTGGGGTGTGTGTTTGGGGGTGGGGGCTGGGTGTGTGTGTTTGGGTGGTGGGGGTGGGGTGGTAGTTGTTCAGTCACCTTGTTAGTGGTTAGACTTCTTATTTCACACCCCCTTCCCCTGCCCTCCCGTAATTTCAGTGTTGAGCATTTCCCCTTACCTTTGGATTTCATGATTTATGTGCACACCCATCCACACCCCTTTTCCAAAATCTTGGATCTGTCTCTGAGTAAGAGCTCACTGATGTCTTTAGATCAGACACTGTCAGTGGTGTAGTGTCTTCTTGTACCTGGGTGCTGGAGAGCGAAAAGGGGAATATTTAGCAGATTATTACTTCTAATGTACTCCATGAACACTGCATTGTAGAGTGCAATATCTTCCCTTCTTACGTGAAACATCCAAATCTAATGCATGAACATGCAGCTTTGTTTGCAAGATACCACGTAGCTAGTATCCTCTGTTGATGACAAGGGACAAATTTGACTATCTGACTGCCACCAAGAATCTCTCAAACGGATAGGGTTCCAATAGGAGATTATGATTCTTGGCTACTCTTGAGGCAAAGTGAAGGGAAAACAGCCTTGAAGATCGGAAAGCATTTCTGCTGAAACATACCGATAAAGCACATGATAGGATCATGAGCGATCATCAAGTTTCCACACGTGACATTGTCTTTTTCAGCAGGCAATCACTCTTGAGAGGGATGGGAACATAACGGGACATGAACATTACAAAAGGTTTGGCACAGTCGGTTCAAAGGCTGCTAATTCCGGATCTAAACCACCCTTTGGTCGTCATCCCTAGTGAAACTGTATTTCGTTTTGCTTCTGTTTTGTACCCATGGATACCAGACAGATAATTTTCCCCAACATCTGCAAAGTACACAATTGTATCGTAAGAGACTCTTTGGCCTCATTTATAAAAGCTAAAGTGTCAAGTAATGTCAGTATCCCTCTGCCTTCTCATTTGTCATGGCTTACTTGATCATAGCCAATTTCGTACACAAATGGCCAACAACAAAATGTGTGAAGAACAATGTGTGTGCTTATTGGCATATGCTGTACATCGTGTACAAATCATCTGTACCATGTGAACCTCTCAACTCTTGGC